CAGACCTTTCAAAGGATGGATGAAGGATGGAATTTCAGCCTTTTTTTAAAACCAGGCCTTTTGCTTAATACTGCTTTTAAAATTAATGTCCTCTTTTGAATGCCAAGAAAACAAAAGGAATTTCTCAAAAGTGTGTGCAGCTTGACACAATAGACCTTAATTGGTGTCAAGGAGATGTTAGGATGAATGGGAAAATGCCCGATAAGACTGAAAAGTGGAACCTTGTTATGAGCTGTCATTTCAACGTGTATTTAAACTATAGCAAAACTGAAACATATTTGCCATATAGATCATAATGACTCCAAAGGAGCCATTGTACTCTATTATGTAATTACATAATCAAAGCATGCATAGTAATCAGCTTTTGAAATTCAATGCTAATCAAACATACCTATAGTGTGTGTTTAAGCGAAAATAGAGAACGTTAATTTGCCATTAGTCAACTAAACAAGAATGTGTATACAGAATATTCATGAATAGCTTAATGTTGTGTCAGACGATACTTTTTGTTTTGTATTCAGGGGAAATCAACAATTTTAATTGAAGAAAAAAACCAGCACAGAGGAGGATTACTCTTTAACTTGCCATTCAAAAATTTGCCTCACCTTTTACTGATTACAAAAGGAGATTAAATTAAATAAAATATTTTTTCCTTTCATAAGCTCAAGTGACACAACAGTAATTATATAGCAGAAGATTCTTTTGAGATCCTGACCATCTCCATGCCATAGGATACAGTGTTCTAAATTCTACATAAAATAAAGCTTTCAAAACAACAACAACAACAGAAGCCTTTGAATATATATTGCTTTTGTAATTAGCAATAAATCGAAGGTGTTATCCAGAATGCGTCAAGAATAGAAATATCTTGTTGACTTGGTCAGGAGGTCTGGTGTCTACTCGTGGCTGGGCCTCATGCTTGCCATATGATTTCAGGCCTATCTCCTCCCTGGACCTAAAGTGAGAGAGTTGATCTCCAAGTTTCTTTCTACTCAGTTCTATTGATTCCGGATTCCATAGGGTTCTATAAAAAACAAGGTGATACAGATGAAGTGTTTGGGTCAATGTCACATGTTCTTGTTCACTCCATTATTTGTTGAGTTGGTTTAGTTTATTTTTTCTCTAAGCCTGTGGACTGTATGGTTGGCATTCATAATTATTTTCACCATTAAGTAGACAGTCCTTGGAGCAGACAATCAACATATTTGACTTAACTGTTTGGTGTAACAAAACATGGAGAGGATCAAAAAGGTTAAGAGGGGCTTTGTAAACAGCAGACAGATTGATTGCTTTTGATTTTAGATAAATACTAAAGTATTCATGCCGGTTGAAATTTGCCTGTCTCAGAAATAAAGAATGGCATTTGTCTTGAAGAGGTCACACCCTTTACCTTAAATCTACAGTTGACGAGCCCCTTTCTTCGGACACTGGTTCTCACTGTCTCTTGTCTGCACATTGGATGCCTAAAAATGTTACTGTAATATTTAAATAGAACTAAATTCTTTCATCAAACGCTTTCGTGGCTTGAACTTCGAATAATTTATTTTCAAATTACTTTTACTGTAATTCTTATTAATTCAAATAGGTTTCTGATTTGATATAAAACTCTGTAAATGCAGGGAACAGTTTAATGAATTGAAAGATAGGATTGAGTCTTTTAAAGGAAATGTACAAAATATGCTGACAATAATTGCTTAGATAGAAATCAAATCTTAATGGCTTTGTTAATGATTTGTAGTGAACACTGTGTTTACGTTGACTTGGGGGAACATATGTAGTTAGAAAGATTTTTCCCTGTGGGTTTCAGCAGAATCTTAATTTTTTTCATTCTTTTCCTGAAACGTACTCAACTCTGTACTAGCTCTCAGAAACGTTAGCAGAAATTGCAAGTGCCTCTACTAGTGATGGTTTTTTTTTCGGGTAGGGATTAGAGGTTCTGCTTCCAAGTTGAGCACATCCTGAACAGGGTTGTAAAAATAGTAGCCAACAGAAATGAGCATAATTGACAAGGCATTTGAAGCTTCAAGTCAGCGAAGGCTCACACTTCTATAGAAAATAAGATTTCCAAAACGTGCTTCTTTGAAAATTTCAAACCTAGGAGAGTAGGAATTTATTAATAACCCGAGCCTTTCATTTGTGTAAAATTTCAAGAACTATAGTGGAGTTTTTAAAGTAATAACTTACTACATTGATCATCAGCAGGATTTTTTTTTTTTTTGGAACAATCTATAGTTTTGGTTTGACTCCTATTTAGACGACATGACTGTGCTGATTTAATGTTAGGTTCAGTCTTCCATAGAGCAGAAGGTTTTCCTAATATGATTAGTTTTCCTAATATGATTTTGCTACTAAAGGAGTCGGTCAAGGGACTTTATTTGCTCTTTCTCTGGGCAAACTGTCTTCCCTTTGAAGAGTTGCTGGTGCTCCTCTATGTCAGTAACAGTTTACGTAGTTGCCATAGTATAAACTCAATTCTGTTTTAACTATGACTTGCCCTTTTGTTATAGTCTTGACTAGAGAGACTCCCCTGGTGTAAATGAAGTGCTTTATTTACGAACAGCCAGGCAGCGGGGGCGAGAGCTCGTGGTGCTGGCAAAAGGCCGCCATGCACTGGTAATAAAGGCTTTCTCTAGGGGCAGAGTGCCGAGCACTGAAAGAAGGAAGCAGTAGTAAACAAGGTGTTTTACATTCAGAACAGTTTCTCTCTCATCTTAAAGTGTGTAATTGTGTTCTGGATAAAATATGGAAATAAAAAAATCAGAAGTTGCTCATAGGCAAACAGCCCTCTTTAAAAACAAGTACACTTTCCAAGGCAGAGCCAGTGTGAACCTTGGCATCAAAGCCTGATGCTGGCTGGTAAAAAGCGCAAGCTGTATGGGCTGGAGAATCTGATAGAACCCGGTTCAAGAACCAGCTTGGCCACTTAGCTGAACGACATCAGGCAGCTTATTTAAATCTCTCTGTCTCAGGTTTTTCATCTCTAAAGCAGGGATACTGAAAACTCCAGGAGTTTGAGAGAGAAAAGTATGTAAAGCATCCTGCACAGTGCCCAGCCCTGGATAAATATTTGTTCCCTTCCCCATGTCTCGTTTAAGATTTACCCTGTCACCTCCCTACAGTGGCCATATTGCTGACTGAATAGATTCCAATCCAGGCAAGTGTTTTGTGTAATGTCACTGAAATGGAGTTTATAACAAAACGAGGTTTTAGAAAGGAATCTGTAAATTATGTTAATTGAAGATCGAATTAGTAGGGGATTTATGTGCCCGCTGCACCCCCACCCCAACAACTCTGCTGTCATGGTCATTACTAATCATAAAAATACATTTTATTTTTCTTTAGACGATAAGCTTTCTCTTCATTGTGAGGAATGCCCTAATAACTTGTAGTTTACTACAGGAGGCTTGCTTATAAGTGAATGGGACTCTCCATGCCATAGTTTTGTTTTTTAGGAATTGTCTGGTAAATCGGGGCGTTATAGGGAATATAGTTGCTGATACAAATAAAAATCCAGTTTGATTTTGTCTTCTAAATCTCACCCATATACACCGATTAACAGCCAAAAATATCTATACATGCCAGATATTGTTCCACCCTTAAAATAAATTACCTTCCTGTTAACAGCCTTATTTAATGGCTACACTATATTGTACCTATTTGTTTTCTTTTGCCCAGAACATGTGCTGTTTCTGCCTTGACATTATATCTGCTAATTGAGTTGTAGAAAATCAGAAAGGTTTTAAAAATGGATTCTTGAAGAAGGGCACCAAAGTTGCCTATTTGTACCCTTCTGCTACACATCAAATTGTGTTTTGTAGCAACCTAATTGTCATGATATCTATTTCAAGGGGAAATTTATCAAGTCACAGTGCACCCTTCTGTTTGGAAGAAATATTTGAGGATGTGAGCAGAAATTATTTTTACATAAAGGCTTCAGGCAGTTAAGAGTACTGACATACATACCGTATTTTCATCACTGTCATTCACTTCCTTTGCCTCAAATAAATAGGTCATTATTATTCCTTTGCAGCCATCTTATGGCACCTTAAAGCGTGGAGCTCTGTTTAACATAACTGCCGCCCAGCTGACCCATATAATTTATTGGTGATTTTTACAGAATGACATCCTTGGGCCACCACCATCAGCCAAGGCCCTTTGATCTCGTTCAGCAAAATATTTCATGATCACTTATAATTTTTTGGCATTAGTATTATAACTGTGTTAACATAGCTAGGAACTGGCATTTCCTGAGACACTGGATTTTAGGTTAGCCTCAGCGATTTTAGAAAATAATACAGTCATAATGATGATACCACCGTAGATTTGCAGAGCGCAGGATGTGCCGGAGCACAGCAAGGGCAAACGTTTGCAGATGGAAAAATTTTACCTGAATGATTCACTCAGTAGTGACACGTTAAAATGGTTTGGCCTTAGAGTACTTAATTATAAGTGATAATTAAGAATGTTTAGATTTTCCTAGAAAACAAACAAAACCTCACTCTGATTTATTGTTGTCATTGCTTAAAAGACAAAATCATGGACAACACGCCTCTTTTCCCATCCCCTTTATACATGTTTTGTAGCCTTAATGTGAATGTAGTGTGCTACTCTCAGAATTTACTAGCCTTAGGATTTCAATAAAGAGCTAAAATTAAAGCATACAGTTATTTCCACAGGAACTATTCTATTAAAGCATAATTGAATTGCAACTTGCTTTAAGTCCCAGTGGCTGCAAGATAGTAGTCAGGATTTGTAAGGCCTTGGTTTATATTGAAGGGATTAATGTCTGTCACCAGGCTGTTCCACGTGTACCTTTTGTAAACTGAAGATTATTTGTGTTGCTAATATACTTCCTTTGATAGAAGAAATCCCTCCCATAACCCAGTAAGACCCCGTTTGGTATTCTACTCTGCTCAAAGCAAGTCCTATGCCTTAAGACAGATACAGCACTTGAATCACACAATTAAATTTTTTCTTAATTTTAGTAGATTGCGTGTTACCTGAGGCTGTGAGAGTGGTGGCTTTTCTGTACACGCTTTTGTCAGGGCCAGCAAAACCACCTTGAAAAGCTTGCTTGATTGGTAGAAATTTTCTTCTCCTTGTTCTTTTCTCCAATCTGGAAATAAACTTTCTCTCTCCAGCTGGGTTCTGAATTCTGTGTTTGTCACAGTAATCCACCAAGGAAAAAAAAAACATCCGTTCATTTTTTTTCTGATCACCTTTTCTCTTTGTTGTTATTCTGTAACACTGTTCTGCGTGCTAAGCTTCCACTGCTGGATCAAGCTATGGGGAATTGACCCTCTCACTCACCACAAGCCCTGTGGGCCTGCGTTCTCACACCCGGGTTAATTCCCTGGATCATAGAGCTCGAGGTGGGGTTTCATTTTGGTCTGCTCCTCAAGCACCAGAAATTTTTGTTTATCTGTGGTTCTAATAATTTTTTTTCCTTATCCTTTTAGTTTCCTCTTTTCTAATCCTCTGCCAGAGGTTGGTCTATTTCTAGGTGGATTTGGCTTAGAGCCATCTTAGCCACCCCCTCACACTTTCCCAGTGTGTCCTAGCAAAGAAAAAAAAAGGATCCTTCAACAGAAATATGATAGCAGGTGGAAACCCTCCATTGATTCTAATTGCATCTCTATTTATACTGTCTCACATTTTCTTTAGATGAGTATTTATCTTTGACCTTTGTTTCGTTATGCGGGAACATTTTTTTAAAGGAGCAAATAATCTGCCCTGAGTTGGTTTAAAACAGCTACATAGGGAGATCCTTGAGAGCAGGAGCCTTTATTCTTGGATCCACACCACTCCCAATACGTAATGGCTTAATAAATCTTTGTATTTGATGTCTAGAGAAATGATGATGATGATGATGATGATGATGATAGCAGCAGCTGCCATTTATTCAGTTTTATGAGAAACTAGACACAGTGCTAAATACTTTATATTTATTATCCGTTTTCATCCCCCTGTCAGTCCTGTGGGATAGCTTTTAATTACTATCCCCATTTTTCAGATGAGAAACTGGCTCAGGGACTTTAATTAATTTTCCAGAGATCACACAGCTAAAATGCAGTCTCTCTCCCCTTCCCAGTTGATCTTTACATCTAATGCCTATGCCACACTTTTTGTTCTGTAAGTAGGGATAAGGTATCGGTTTTCACCCACATTGCAGCTTCTTAAAGGCTAGGACAGCATATACTTCTGTATCCCCTACTATGCCAGGTGCGACATGGAACACTGGACAATTACTTCATCCTTTGGTTCTGAATTGAACTCACTTCTCCTCCTACCTGTGCTGTGGATCATTTAGGACATTTATGAGGTGGCCCGGCTGCTGTCACTAATCTCAGAAGCAACAAACTAGGGCAGATCTGGAGATAAGCCTTATATATCAGTGAATCTGAAAGCCTGGACTTTTTGACATGTTCTGAGGGAGATTTTCTAAATGGCTGGCAGGGGGTGGGGGGTGAGCTGCAGATAGGGGTTTCCGTTCAGAGATGCCTGGGGCTTTGGGTGAGTCATGAAGGTATGAGTGTCAGAGAACAGAGTAACAAACTCCGAACCCTAAGCCTTCCCAGGATTTTATTGAGATCCCAAAGAGTCAGTTAGGCCTCACTCACACACGATGAACTGCCTATACATTGGGACTGTCAACATCAACTAACAAGACGAGATTATTTATTGAACCCTCCTACCTACTTCTATTAAGTGGCTCCTTGAGTTTCTGTGAGGCTGACCAAATAGCTTAGCTCAAGGGCGGGTAAGCTAAATTTGGCTGTATCTATCTTCCCTACTCCATTTGCGAGAGCTTCAACATTCACAAAAGTCGGTACTCTGACCTTTCCAATACCTCCTCAGTATACTACTCAACTATACAAAGTTCTAGAGGCTGAAACGTTTTGTATCACAGCTTTTGAGAGTATAGGGATTCCGGGCTTAGTATTTTGTCCCTAGGTCTGTCTTGGATTAATAGACTCGTCTTGTAGACTACAAAGGAAGGTATTAGAGCCATGCTAAATATTGCTACTTGTGTTCATTTTCTAATATGCCTAGTTCCCACTTTAGTAGATCCCATTGATCACATTTTAATTGATGGAAATTTTCCTCTGACCTTTTCTTCCCTTTTTTTAAGGTGATGGACAGAATCTGTTTACGAAAGACGTGACAGTGATCGAGGGAGAGGTTGCGACCATCAGCTGCCAAGTCAATAAGAGTGACGACTCTGTGATTCAGCTACTGAATCCCAACAGGCAGACCATTTATTTCAGGGACTTCAGGCGTAAGTTTCCATCCCTATAGTTGTAGACGGCAACTTTTTTTCCTACATGGAGTCTTGATAAAGAGATTGCTAAGGCCACCTTTTTTAAATTTAATGTTAGATGCTTAAAGTTTAGTCAATTCTTTAGAGGGAAGAAGAGACAGGCAATCATAATCTTTCTACTTAATAGAAACCTTGAATGGCCCCTTTTAAAAGTAAGGCAGTCTTACTTTGCAATAGAAATTGATTGTAGTAATTCAAGGTGAATTGCAATTGAGTCCCAAATACTTAGCTGACACAAACAACTCAAACAGGGTAAGGCAAGGAAAATACAGCATTCTGAAAGGTAATCCCTTTGGTTTGAAGATTGAAGTTTCCAAGGCAATACATGCCTATAAGCATAAAACCAAGTCTTGTCTCATCATAGCCTTTGGCATATGGAAGTGTCCATATGCTGAAATCTTTCCAAATGTAATATCACAAAAACCAAAATTGCAACAAACTTGTGTAGAATACAAATGGTTCATATGAGTGTCAGGGCTTAGTAAGAGCAAGAATCAAATCTTTTGAAAAAAAATTGTTATTGGAGAGCGTCGGTGCCTAACCAAAGCGAAGCATGTCCCTTCCCAGCTGCTTGTTCCCTTCCTCCCCAATACCTCAGGGTCATTCATGACCTATGGAAAACGTTGATAAACCTAAGGAACATTTAAAGGGTTGAGGGAAGATAAAAGGAAATAAGCCAGCTTCTTTTCTTAAAGTGAATTTTCGTCATATACTAAGTTAGTCTTTGCCAAAATTAAAAAAGGATTTTGAAAGAGAACATTTGAAATAAATAAGAGGCCCACATATATCAGTTTTGCAGTGATTTTAATTTCCTGCTTAATGCCTAATCAGTTTCATACTGTGAAGCCAAATGTACTTAGGAAACCGCAGGACCAGTTTAAGGCCTCCGTAGGCTCGAGGTCATCCACTTTTGGCAGCTCCACCTCAAATCACATCAAATATGTTAAGGTGAATCCAAGTTAATTAGGTTTATTTTGCTATTAGATTATAAGTTTTTAAAGTAATTTTCCTTTTGCTTTTGTAATTAATATGAAGGCCTTTTTAGTTCTGTTTCATAATTTGAAATCCTTGTTTTTTGAAAGTCTTACTTATACTTTTTGAGGCATTTTAAAAGGCTGTAGGCCCTAGTCCCTGAACTTCCAGTGCCCAAAGGCTAGGGGGGCCTGGCACTCCCTGCTTCAGAGGACTCATGACCTGCTTTTTCCTTTTGTTTTCTTTTTGTCTGTCTTTGGTAGAAAACTTGAAAACGTGTATGAATAAGTGCTGAAAACTGACAGCATTTGGAATTGTGCCAAGGTAGAAGGGTGCATATCTGGATGTGTGTGCATATATGTATTTTTTTATTTTTAAAATTCAGCAAGATGGGCAGTGATTCTATTCAAGAATCCAAATCAGCTGGATTTGGATTGTATATGTACACTCACACATGCACTCATATGCATAAGTTTCCTTTGGACAGGGTTATTTGTCTACATGAAGTTACTGCAGACACCCGAAATAGTCAAGAAGTACCAGATACAACAAGATTTAATACATGATTAAGGAAAACAGACCGTCCGTCCACCTTCTCACAATCACTAACTCTGTGTTTTGTTTCACAGCGTTGAAGGACAGCAGGTTTCAGTTGCTGAATTTTTCTAGCAGTGAACTCAAAGTATCATTGACAAACGTCTCAATTTCTGATGAAGGAAGATACTTTTGCCAGCTCTACACCGACCCCCCACAGGAAAGTTACACCACCATCACAGTCCTGGGTAAGAAATGCATGTGGGGCTTACCCAGGGAAATGGAACGGGGATGGCCCTTACTACCAGACAGCTTACAGCAGCAAGGAAAAGGTTAATGGTGAATTCTCCTGTTCAAACTTGTTTCAGGAAGAATCGCCGCCCATCTTGCTGAATTTTAAAAATAGCCTATTTTACCAAATGCTCTAAGGAATGGCAATCAGCAGTCTTTATAGATTCCACCTGCTCTTGGGTTTCAACCCTCAAGTTTCAGAAGCAAAGATCAAGAGAATTTAGAGCCCTCAAATGAATCACTCACCACATGAAATGTTATTGCTTCTAACTACCGGGATTTTTTTCTTCCATCTGTGCAGGGGAAGGGGAGATGGGCTACCAAATCTATACCCTATGGCAGAACTCAGTTATGAAATCCACGTAATGATTTTTCCTTCTGAGTTACATCCTCATTTTAATATTGTTGATCTCCTTTTCATTGGCTTGACTTATGGCCTTGTTTATTGCTTATACTCTAGATTATACTGTAAAAAAGTCATACCCCATGAACATATACTTTGCCACAAATTGCCGTCATTGGACATAAAAGAGTTAAGAGCGCTTTTACTGATAATAAGCAAATAACTGTTGACAGGCTGCGAGGTGCACCTCCAGTGAGCTGAGTGTCTTCATTTATGATCACCAGATTGTGAGTTTCAGCAAAATCCCAGTAGCCAGGTTTCCATGTTTATATTTTAATATAGTCAGCAGATATTTCTATGTTGAAGGTGGTCTGAATTAGTCACCTTTAGACAAGCTTACTCTGCTGCATAACACCAGCTGATTTGGAGTCTTGAAACTGAATTTTCAAGGACATACACTATAGCATGAGGCAAGATCTCTGATTTACACCTTCGGGAAGATGATGAATCAAAGTCTATTTGAGGCGGCAGACTGCAGCTTTTCAGTGTAATGATATGAAGATTAAAGAGGAAAGATAAATATGAAGGACATTTTTGCTTGGTATGTGTGCACATATATGTATTTATGGATGTACATATTGAGCTGCTGCCTCATTACTTTACTTCAACACAGCTGTAGAAGGGAAAATTTTTTTATTCATTAAGCTAAAACATAACCCTAATGCTCACATATATGTTTTTGACAAGAGGAGTATTGATTTTAGAAAGTTGTGTTTAAAACCTGTCCATACAATTTCTAATCTGGTCTGTGTTTAATGATAGATGGCTTTCAGGTATTTGTATTTGTCACTATTGTGGTCTTAATCCAGATTAGACCTGTAGAAATAGTAAGCATGGGAGGTTTTGCTGCGATGACTATTTTGGTATTTTGCAGATGTACCAAATTCGCAAGCATACATTTGAAGAGTTCTGTCTGTCTGCTTGTATCAGAGTATTTGAAAACGCTCTTTGCTTGTTGGAGTAAGTCATTAGCAACACAGACTTCAAATTGACCATCCACTCATCCGCCCTTTGACTCATCATCGTTTATGGCATCTCCACAAATGTGACAGTCATAAAATAAAATCTATTTATGGCATTTTGAATTTTCAGAGTATTTTACTACATATACCTTTACGTATTTATATGTTGTTTTTCACAGAAGTAAAATGATAATAACAGACGTTAGACATCTTGCCCAGGTTACAAAGCACTCAGTAAGAACCAAGAATCTTAGAATTTGGAATAAACCTTACAATTCTGTTTTATAATTACAACATTGGTGTCTTCCAGTCTAGGTTGTTTTCAGTTAAATACCGAATGCTTTTGTTTTAAGATTTTTTTTTTTTCTCCAAAAGGCGCACATCTTCTGTTTTCAGGAGCATATCTAGCCATTGGCAAGCAGTTACTACTGCCTGTCATTTTCTGGTGCCTGATACATTTATTCTCAAAACCACTGCATGGATCAGTTTGGCTCTGAATACACCATGTGCTTGGGAGCCAGTGTGCCAGCACTAGAATTTGGAGAGGCATTGTGCCTGTAATCCTTTAGGAGGTCTGATTATTCTAGAAGTAATAGGTTCCTACTTGTATTTTATAGAAGCATTAACTTAAATATACTCGAAAGTAGCACTCTAAAAAGTAGTAGATGTTCTTTCTGCAGATATTATTCATTCACTTAATATTCTTTCCATTTAATTTACTCCAGGATTCCTTGACAGAGTAAAATTGTTGTCATCAGTGTTTGAGTCTTTCATTTCCCAAAATCTGACAATTTCCACTGATACTCTTATATTCAAACCTTTCTCGTAAGGTTTAGAGTTTTCAGATATTATAATGAATGAAGAATGACATTAGCATCTTCGTTGCTATCTGCAGTTCTCTGAAAAGGACTCCGCGTGTACTTACACAGCTGTCAAACTTCTTGATAGGTTGAAGATTCTCAT